GGGGAGGGGGGGAAAAAAGAAAAAAAAAAAAAAAAAAAAAAAAAAAAAAAAAAAAGACGGGAGAGGGAAAAAAGAAAAAATAAAAAAAAAATCACACAAAAACTCTAGTGGTGGGGGAAGAGGGCCTCATCGTCGTCCTCCTCCTCCTCCTCCTCCTCCTCCTCCTCCCCCCCCTCCTCCTCCTTTTTATCCTTCTCCCCCCGCCCTTCTCCTCTTCTTCCTTCTCTGCCCCTCTGCCCCTTCCTAGTCCCACTTTTGAGCCTGGATAGACTTTAAATAACAAGGAGAACTGGCTGGAACCTTGACCCCAGCAGGTCCTCCTCCTGTGAATGGAGGGGCCGGCTCTTGACTTGCTCAGGTTATGCTCCTGAGTTCCAGGCAGGTGGGACGCACACTGGAGCACACCTGGGACCCGCCTCCTGGATCTCAGACCACCAGCAACCCCGAGGGCTTAGCGTTACGGGCATCGACCTCTCTCCAGAGTTCAGTGGTGCTTGAGCAGCCGCAGACCCTGCCCGGAGGGGAGGGACACCCCGGCTCCAGCCCCGCTCCACGCACAGCCAGAGTTCCCAGCTATGGGTGATGTTCACGGTGGTGTGAGCCGGAGGTGCAGTAGGAGGTGCCAGAGGAACCATGTCACTGCACGAGGGGGCCTGGGAGTGAGGGGCCAGCACTGGGCCACAGGACGCCAGCAGTACCACCCCAAGAAGGACACTTCCTCCCCAGACATTGCTGACCCCCAGGTCTGTGTGGCCCGGTGTGAAGAAGGGTGTCTCACAACCTTCCAGATGTGACAGGCCATCTGTTAGTGGGGATTTTCTGTTCTCCACTCAACATTTTAGTCTAGTAAGGTCTGCACTAGAGGAAGTGTTGATTTTCCAGTGGTTTTAGGGCATATAAACAACTCCAGAGCAGCCTGGCCTTGAGAGCATCACCGTGGGGAGGAAGAAGTTGGGTCCAGAGTCCAGCCTCCATCTCAGTCAGGCCTGGGTTTCATGGGCAGCTGGGGGCAGGGGGCAGACCCAGTGAGGACCCAGGCTCCCACCCCCATCCCATCCTGTGCTCCTCCCTCCCCACCCCCCATACTATATACAAGGTACTGGACAGCAAAAGAGAAAGTGCCTTCCAGGTGAGGTCTTGGGTGGCTGCGTGGAGGAGGTGGGTCTTGAGGGGTGGGAAAGATTGTGATGACAAATGGAGAGCAGAGAATGTCTTGGGTAGGGAGGGGGATATCCAGCCATCATTGAGCCCCACTCTTTAGAAATGGGTCCTTGTGGATGTAGGAGAAAGGGTAGGGAAACAGGTTCTGGGCAAGTGCCTTCCCTCGGGGACACTGTGTTCCCATCTGGGGTTGGACTCAGGGTCCCCTAGTTCCACCAGCTCTGCCCCCCTGGGATTCTGTGAGGAGCAGGACCAAGCTGGGGTCACTGAAATCTGGCAAATCACCAAGCCCAGCTTGTCTGGTGTGACCAATAAAACGTAACTCCACCAGGGTGGTGTATCCGTCTGTCCTGGTCACTGTTGTGTCCTGGCATCTAGAATTGCACCTGGCACAGGGGGCGTCCTCAAAGTGTTTGCGGAAGGAAGCGGGGAAGGGAGGAAGGTTGCTCACCTCCCCAGGTTTGGCAGTCGGTGGCTTCTCCAACCCTCCACCTGCCCTGGGGAAGAGGAGGCGCAGAGGGGCAGCCGGCAGGCAGAGGAGGTGGCCGCGGGGAGGCGGGCAGGCCTGGAGGAGCAGGGCCTGCTCTCCACAGAGTGCGAGCCGTCCTGTGTCACTGAGAGTGCAGACGGGTGCCGGGTGTCTGCCCGCATCAGGGCCTCTCTCTGCGTTGACCTTACCATGTGGCTCTCCGCAGATCCGGATGTGGTATCCCTGGAGGCAGCGGACAGACCCAACTTCTTCCTCCACGTCACAGCCAACGGGTCTCTGGAACTGGCCAAGTGGCAGGGCAGCAACGCCTTCCACCACCACGCCTCCTTCTCGCTGCACCAGGGGACCTGGCGGGCAGGCCTGGTGGCCCTGGAGTCCCTGGCGGAGCCTGGCTCTTTCCTTCACGTGTCAGGCCCCACGCTGGCCCTGCGGCCATACGAGCACTCCGAGGTCTTCCGCCGGGGCACACTCTTCCGCCTTCTGGGTAGGTGTCCTCCCTGCCATCACCCTCAACCCCTCAGCCCCTCTCCTTATTCCCCTTCCAAGGGCCCCCAAGAGATGGAATCCTCACTCTCCTGGCACCAGGAGGCCACGTGGGTGCCACCCTGAGGCGGGAAGTGTCCTGGCCTCCGTGTTGGTGGCCTGAGGAGTGTGGGCAGCGTGGCTCGGGGCCCAGCCAGCTTCCTGGGTCCTGCCTACGCCCACAGGCCAGTCACACGTCTAAAAATAGGGCGGCCTTTGTGGAAACACAGGGAGAGTGATCGTGGCGCTGCTTGCGCAGCTCTCTGGCTCAGGTTTCGTGCTGATGGGGGCACATGCCCGCCCTGTGAGCCGCAGCCTCTCCCTGCCTTCCCGCCCCCCCTGAGGCCCGGGCCCCTGTGATGGGGCAGCACCCTGTCCTTTCCAGCCAGGACTGGAAAGGGTCCCAGGGCTTTGCCATCCCCCTGCCCATGTGCCTGCCCCTAATGACTTAGTCTCTGCTTGGACCCGGGAGGCAGTGATCACAACTTCTTTACCGCTCCAGGCTGGCCTCTCTGACCCGTATGCGCACATGTGTGTTCATGCCTGTGAGGGCACCTCCCACTATATGGATGAACCCACACATGTGTAAATGTGTCTCCAGCCAGGCTGTTCACTGATCACCCCCACCCATACCACACACACACACACACACACACACACACACACACACACACCCCAGGCTGGGCCAGCTCACACGCTTACATTCAGCGGTCCTCTAACCAGTCCACCAAGAACCCCACCCAGGACAGAGTCATCGCTGGCCGTGATGGCAGGGCTGTGTCCCTTTCTGGAGGACCCCGAGGCAGAACGGGTGAGCCCAGGCTCTGAAGCCAGACTGCCTTGGGTTCGAATGCTGACGGGGTCCTTGGCGCTCGAGGAGAACCCCCTCCCTGACTGTTTCTTCACCTGAACAGCGGCGATGTTTGCCTCAGGGTTATTGTGGGCGATCGAATGTATCTCGTGCGCTTTGCTCTGGGCCCGGCTCATAGTGAAGTTCTCGGTTCTGGTCCCAAGGATCTTGGGAAGCAGGTTTCCTCACAGTCAGCAGCAGTGCAGGGTTAGGAAGTCAGGAAGGGGCCGCAGGGCGGGGCCAGGAGCAGAGACCCCCACGTGTGCCAGGGAGGTCTGGGGTCCTGTCTGCCTTGAAGCCCCACAGAAGCTACACACGCTTCCCCTGAGGACCCTTCATCTGCCAAGGCCCTGGCCACGGGGCCTTTTACGAGGAACTCTGCCCCGGGAGAGTTTCATTTCCCCAGCAGCTTGTGTGCCTCAGTTTCTTCACCTATAAAATGGGAATAATAATAATGCTACTTCGTAAGGTTATTGTGAGGATGAATGAGTGCATACTTGTGTGAAATGTTGAGTATCCTACTTGGTGCTATTTGAGTCAGCTGTTGTTATTATTAGTAGCCCAAGTTACTAGGGGCAACAAAGACAGTGCTCAGACAAACTCCACGCACCGCACCCGGTCCCAGACTGGCTACTTCACGGAGGCCCTCTGGGAACAGGGGGGTAGGGCTTGTAAAGAACAGCTCTCCCTTGTCTGGGGCCAGATGCCCCACAGGGCCTTGGCTGAGAGGGGTGGGATTCCCCAACCGCCCCCACCCTCAGGGGAAAGCCTCCTGGCTCCCTGGAGGTCTGCGGTGGCCTGGCCAGAGGCAGAGCAGGAAGGATGGGGTTGTGTCCTGGGGTGCAGACCAAGCCTGACCACCAAGGTCTCAGAGGGGTAGGGTGACGGGCAGCCTTATGGAGAGATCAGGGATCACAGCCTCCTCTTCCGTCACCCCTCAAAGCCCAACGCCAACGCCTGCTCCATAGCACCCCTTCCTCAGCCCTTCCACCGAGTTCCCTGACCCCCCCTCCAAGGATCCTCCAGGCCCTGGCCCCAACTCTCAGAGACAGTGTCCCCTGAGGTTGGCTTTTATTTATTTGTCCCCACTTTTCCCGCATGAGTCCATTTGTCTCTTCCACGGGTGGGCGGGCGGGCGTGGGCTGAGCTGGATTGCCTCTGTGCTCTGGCACTGATGCCCCGTCCTCAGACTCTGGGGTGGCTGATTTTCCAGATGCCAAGCCATCGGGGGCTGCCTACCCCATCTGCGAGTGGCGCTACGATGCCTGTGCTAGCCCCTGCTTCCAAACCTGCCGGGACCCCAGGGCAGCCAGCTGCCAGGACGTGCCCAGGTGAGATGGCATGGCATCAAGGTATGCGCATTAGCCTGTAGAGCAGCGGTTCTCAACCTGTGGGTCACGACCCCTTTGGCGGTCGAACGACCCTTTCACAGGGGTCGCCTAAGACCATCCTGCATATCAGATATTTACATTAAGATTCATAACAGTAGCAACATTACAGTTATGAAGTAGCAACGAAAATAATTTTATGGTTGGGTCACAACATGAGGAACTGTATTTAAAGGGCCAGAAGGTTGAGAACCACTGCTGTAGAGCATACATATGTGGGAATGGGTTTGTATGTCATCTGTGAGCAGAGGCATAAGCATATATTGAGGTGTGTGTGTACTCACATATACTTACATACACATGTGTGCTGTGTGTATGAGGGGTGTGTACCAGATGAATGTGCCTCATCTGAGCATTTGTGAATATCTGTGCACAATGTGCATATAGCTGAGCCCTGTGTGTGTTGTGTGTACAAGTGTGCCTGGGCTTGTACAGCTGTGTGCACGCATGTGTCTGAGCTGCGTGTGTTTGGGTGTTGGTGCAGCTGTGTGCATGAGCGTGTGTACACTGATGTTTGTCGTGGTCTGTGTGGACCTGTATGTATATCTGTGTGAATATTTTTGAGTCCTGCAGGCACAGGGGTGTGTGTGAGGATGTGCCTGGATAGAGTCACATGTGAGCACATGCAAGTGAGTGCACAGTGTGCTTAGCTGGACCTTGTTTGTGTGTTTCCCTCTCGGTCTGAGGGCAGGATGTGCAGCGTGCATGTTGGGGTATGTGTGCTTCTGGGTGATACGTGACAGGATATGGAGGTTCATGGGAGTGTGTACATGATAAGAGCACACACACATCATAAGAAAGGACGAGGCCTGTGCTCAATGCAGGTGAAAAGAGCTGACCCTCTCACATTCCCGACCACCGACCCTCCCTGCTCTGTCCCCAGGGTGGAAGGCTGTGTGCCGGCATGCCCCACCCCCAAGGTCCTGGATGAGGTCACACAGAGATGCGTCTACGTGGAGGACTGTGAGTGGCCTGCATTTCTCATCCCTCCCTCGGATTCACCGTAAACCCCAGGGTCTCACGGACCCGTCATACCCAGACCTCCCAGGTCCCTGGACAGGCCGGGTCAGCAGAGGGGCCTCCGGAAGAACACTGTAGAGCAGGCTGAGACCTCATCCAGCCCATTCTCCCGATTTCACAGGGGAAAAATGAGGCCCAGAGTAAGGGAGGGACTGGCTTGAAGTCACGTGGCAGAGCCCAGACCCGCTGGCTCCTCTGAGTCATCCACATGGGAGAGGCCCGGGGTTGGTCAGGCAGCCTAACCAGCCGTGGGAAGCTGTCTTCCCGCTCACCCAGGGTGCCCATCTGACCCCAGCCCGGCACAGTGTGACCCCTGGGCAGCAGTCACCCCACCCTCTGAGCCTCGTCTCTCATCTGCCCCAGGTGTGGAGCCTGCAGTTCTGGCTCCCACGGAGGCCCGTGGCAACGAGACCCTGCCTCCGAGTCAAGAGCTGCCCACCCCCAGGGACCAGGAGCTACAGTTCCCACAGGACACTCCCGGGGCCCCCTCCCATAGGCCGGCATTCACCCCAGCTGCCCCGCCCACCACGGCCCTGAACCCATCCCTGGCAGCCACTGAGGGGCCACCGCTGCCCCCAGCCCCCACCCAGGAGCCCCTGGGGGTCACGGCATCTAACCTCCCTGCCCATGCCACAGGGGCCCCAGCCAGCAAGGGAGTGACCGCCAGCCTCCCCAGCACCCCGCATGCCCCAAGGTCCTCCTCCCTCCCCCATTTGCGGCAGATGTCCACACCTGGCATGGGGTTGGGTGCCATGGAGACGACCAGGGTCACCATGACCTTTGCAGGGAGCCCCAACATTACAGTCTCCTCACAGTCACCCCCTGCACCTCGCTTCCCACTCATGACCAAAGCGGTGACGGTCCCAGGCCCTGGCTCCTTGCCTGTTAGGACGACACCCCTACAGGCCTTGCCCAGCCTGGGCTTGCCTGCAGGTCCCTCCTCCAGGCCTGTGGCTTCCCCTGCAGTGACCTCCAGGCCCCCCACTTCCTCACAGTCCCACGAGACTTGGCTGACACCTGCAGTAACGAAGGTCACAAATAGGACAGGGATCCCCCAGTCCATACAGACCCAGCCCATTCCCAGTCCCAGCAGCCCCCCAGCCGAGCCTGGGGCAGCAGCAGAACAGGCTTCTGTCAGCCCTGTGGCGACCCAGGGAGTGGAGATGGTGCCACCCACAGAGAAGGTCCACCTGGGGCCAGGCCAGCCCACGGGCCTGCTGCCATCCCCACTTCCCAGCCCACTCCCCACTGCCCCGCCCCACCCCTCCGGGCACACCACCACAGTCGCCAGGCCTCCAGCACCACCCCCAGGGACTCCGGCTGCCACTGGCCTGTCCACAGTTGCCCATGGGCTGGGGGCCACACCCTTCGTATCTCCGGAGTCAACTCGACCCCCCCAGCTCCTCTCTGGCCTACCCCCTGACACCAGCCTACCCCTGGCCAAGGTGGGCACATCTGCCCCAGTGGCCACTCCTGGCCCCGAGGGCCCTGTCATCACCCCTCCACTCCAGCAACAGGCCACATCTCCTGCCATGGCCGCGACTCCATCTGCTCAGCCCCTCAGCCCTGCACGGCCTCTCACCCCAGCTATGGTGGCCCAGGTGCACCCACCCAGTCACACAACCCCTCCGGCAGCAGGCACAGTTCTAGGCCCGCTTCTGGGAGCCACATTGCCAACCTCTGGAGTGGTGACTGTGGCTGAGGGGGTGGCCTCCACAGTATCTGTTGCCCCACGAAAGAGCACCACGGAGAAGACGGCCATCCTGTCCAAGCAGGTGTCTCTGCCCACCTGGGTGCATGGCTCTGCCCAGGAGGGGCCCACAGCGCTCACGCCTGCTGTGGCCCACACTCTTGCTACCTTGGTGACTGAGGCCAAGGATCCCTGGGCCGGCACAGGGCCACTGGTGCCCACATCCCATCCCCTGAGCCCTGTCTCGGCCAGGACCGCCTCCCGAGAGAGCTCACTGGTTCTCCTCCCTCAACTCCCTGAGGCCCATGGAACCTCGGCAGGACCTTGGCCCCCCGCAGAGCCAGTGGGAGAGGCCACCACGGAGCACTCTGGGCGCTCGGCCCCAGTCCAGAGTATCTCCGAGGGTTCAGCCGTGGCCTTGGCAACCACCACTGAGGCCAACGCATCTGCCATGTGTGTCGTGAGTGACTTGTCAGGTTTCTGTCCTCCTGTATATGGACCCTCCATGCCTTCCCTCCTCCCATGCCACTGGGCTTGGGCACCACCACACTCACATACCTGGGCTCGGGGCAAGTCCTATAGAAGCTTCTTAACCAGCGGCCAGGCTACAAGATGGGGTTTAGTCACTGCCTTCACCCCTTCCCCATGCTCCTGGAGCCTGAAAAGTTCTCCAGGCTCCTCTGGGCCCCTGATACCATATCAGGGTCACACTGTGCCCCAAAGGGGCCCCAGTGGCTAATTGGATGGCTTGGTGTTATATCCAGGTGTAACAACATGGGTATGTCAGTGTGCATGTTTATGTCTGGGTGCCTGCATGGGACTGTGCACACGTTTGTGTTCATGTATGTGAGACTCTGAACACTCAGATATCCGTATGTGTGATACATGATGCTGAGAGACTGTCTTTGTGCATTTGTGAGATAGATAGATAGATAGATAGATAGAGTGTGGGAGGGGTGCTTGGGCTTCTATGAGTCTGAGCTAGTATGTCTGCACACTGTGTACCTGGGGATCTCAGCACAGACCAGGCAGATATGCAGAGACTTGGGGGTCAGTCCTCTGACCCTCAGTCTCATGCACAGCCCAGCCCCAGGCCCCGATGGGTTGGGTAGATGGGGAATGAGGGCTCCATTCCCTGGTAGGTTTACCTCAGGGTCTCCTCCTGCTAGAACCTGCATCTGAAAGGATTCCGGGCCCTCATGGCTTCAGGCTGGGTGGGCTGGGGGTGAGTGGCTGTGGCTTCCAGCCTGGGCCCTCACACGACCCTTTACCCTGTGTCCAGCCAATCGCGGAGGAGGACTGCATCCGCCACATCTGCCTGGAGGACCAGCTGATCCGGGTGAACCTGACTCAGCACTGTCCCCAGGGTGCTGCACCCCTTCACTGTGGGGTCCTGGGCCTCTCAGTGAGAGTGGGCGGGGACCGCTGCTGCCCCTTCTGGGAATGTGCCTGTGAGTCTGGGGTCCACTGGAGCCTCCCCTGTCCTCGTGCTGTGTCCTCCTGTACCTCTGCTCCAGCCTGATTTCTATCTCTGACCTGGTGCTTCCCAGCCTTAGAGTAACCCTGACCTGAAAATGACCTCCCGTGGGACCTCTTGTCTCAGTGTGACCCTTGACCTGGCAGATTTCCTACCCTTGCAACCTCTGTGTGACCCTCTAGCCCCCAGGGCCTCTGCATCGCCCAGGAAAAGACCCAGGCACCTGCTCCGTGTTCCTACGCAGCCTTGGCCTTGAAGGCACCTGTTCATTCTTTTTGTCCCCTGCCCTCCCACAGGCCGATGCTCCATCTTCCCTGATCTGAGCTTTGTGACCTTCGATGGGAGCCATGCAGCCCTGTTCAAGGAGGCCATCTACACCCTCAGCCAGAGCCCAGACGAAATGGTCACCGTCCACGTCCTCGACTGCAAAAGCGCCAACCTGGTGACTGCCTGCTTCTTTCTGCCAGCACTTGGGGCTATGACTAGGCCTGGGGGGGGATTAGCAATGAGTTGGGTTTTGAAGCGGTGAGGACAGATGCGGACGCTCTGTCTGTCTCCCAGGGGTCTCCTGAAATGGGTGCGTGGGGAAAGAGTCAGTGGAGTCTGCCACCTGCTGGCCTTTCCTGGGGCCTGTGCCATCCCCAGCTAGTCCCAGCTTCCTAGGCATGTGCATAGGATCTGGGATGCCATTCCAGGGATGTGGCCTGGTCGAGGGTGCCAGCTGCAGGGAATCCCCACTAGGATGCCCCATGAACCAGGTGGAGGAGGCAGGGTTCTTTATTTGTTCGTTGTGGCTGAGCTTGCATGGAGGTCAGGTAGAGCCAAAAATGTTCTATGGGATTCTGCACCATTGCACAGCCCCAATGGTGCCGCTGGCATGTTGTTGGGAGGGGAGTCAGAGCTGGGGAGCCGGGGGTGGGGGAGGGGGGCGGAGGGTGCTCACACTTGCTCACCAGGATAGGAGGCAGGACAGGGCTCCAAGCTGATGGGTTGATGGGGGCTGGGATGTCTCTGCAGGGGCACCTGAACTGGCCCCCGTTTTGTCTGGTGATGCTGAATGTGACTCACCTGGCCCATCAGGTCACCATTGATCGCTTCAACCGGAAGGTGAGTGCATCAAAGAGCCGGTCCTCCGGGGCCGGGCAGCAGTCAGTGGAGGGCCAGGGCGTCCAGGGGTGGAGGGGCCTGAGGCTTATTCATGGTTGGGAACTGGATGGGGAAGGACAATTTTAAGAAAAACAGTGCAAAATTGAGTATATTTGGAAGGGATTTTAATTAGAATACTTTGGCCACCGTACTGTCAAGCAAGGAAGAGTACCGGGAGGAGTACTGTGACAGAAGACGTTAGAGGGGCAAGAAACAGTGACCTTCACGATTGTGGTTAACTATCTGACTTCCCACTTTTGCTCTGAGGGATTCTGTCTTAGTGGTCAGCGCAGAGATGGGGAGACCCCAGAGAGAGTGCCCGACCCAGAGGCTGGGGGTTTGGGGACGATCTCCCAGAAGAAATCATCTGAGCAGAAGCAGGAAAGAAGAGAGTGATTAGAGGGACCCAGAATTTATGCTAATTTGCCCATAGAGATGTGGCCTGCTTCCAGATGTTGCACTTCTGGCTTCATTGTTGGGTGCTCATAAAACCTCCACGGAACTCTTCTGTGCACCTTGGACTGTGTCTTGGCTGCCGGTGCCTGAAACAGAGCCTGTCATAGAGAGGGCGCTTATTAACTGTTGTTGGATAATTGGAGGGACGAATGGATGGATGGATGGATGGATGACCAAGCTGTGCTCACATTCAGCACAACCCCTCCCCCCTTTAAGGTGACAGTGGACTCACAGCCTGTACGGCCCCCCGTGAGCAGGTATGGGTTCAGAATTGAGGACACAGGCCACATGTACGTAATGCGGACGCCGTCACACATCCTGATCCAGTGGCTCCACAGCTCGGGACTCATGATCCTGGAGGCCAGCAAAGCCAGCGAGGCTCAGGGCCGTGGCCTGTGCGGTGAGGTGGGACCCAGCTGGGGGCAGGGGGCTGCTTCCTGGGTCCACCCCTGCCCCCCAGACACGGGTTCCCCTGTACCAGGGAAGGCTGGGACAGAGTGTCAGGCCAGAGTGGGGATCAGGAGAGCTGCCAGGCAGAGACCCAAGGTCCCTAATGTCTTCTATTCTGGAACTGAAGCTGCCAGCAGGGAGATGGCTCGGAGCTCTGGCCTCGGCCAGTTGTCGCTTCAGGCAGGATTGTCTGTCAGCTTCCCTGGTGGCTCCCTAATACCAGATAATCCTTCCAGCCCGCGTATGCCTGAGCACTTCACAAAGCACTTCCACGCTCCGATCGCACTTATTCCAGGTCATCCACACAATAGCCCTGAGAGGTGGTCATTGAACTAAAGAAGAAAGGGGGCTCAGAGAGGTTAAGTGGCTTGCTTAAGGTCACACAGCAGAGCTGCCACACACATAGAACTAGTGTTCTTAGACCACAACATGATTGGCCTTAGCCCATGCCCTAAGGGACCAGTGTATTTTGATAAGCAAACTTGGATTCATGGACTGATACTCCTTGAAGGGGCAGAGGACTCCATGACAGACTGCCCTGATTATGGTGAAGGACGACATAGGGATACTTATACACACACATACTTACGGCCTCCATCCGTAAGTCTGCCCCCGTTTTGTTCATTCACACTCACGCTCCTGTAGTCAAAATGCCCTCTACACTTAGACTAACACATGTAAGTCTGCTTCCTGATTTTTCTTTCATTTGTGCAACATATAGTTACCAGGTACCAGTCACTGGGGGCAGAACAGGAGGCAAAAAAGACAAACCTCCTGTTTGATGAAACTTCTATTTTTACTGATACAAGCATCTCTCCTTGCACACATCAGTACTACCAGCACCAGCACCACCAGCACCCCTTTCTCACCTGTTCTACTGTTCACACCTGGCAGAGTGCTGTGGTCAGCGATAATTGGGCGGGCCAACTCCTCCGTAGGGTCGCCTTGTGACACCCTTCAGTGACTCAATGCCAAGACCAAAAATGTAACCTTTGGGACCATCGATAAAATTTTATTAAATGAGGCTTTATATTCACAAAGCTGGTGGCTGGAAGTGTCAGAGCAGAAGACAGCTAAGTTATCCAAACTAACACTTGGTATCATGGCCACTCTGCTAGGCATGGGGGAATACTGAGTGAGAATCTAAAGGAAAATGAGTCTTTGTGCTCACAGAGCAAGACCAAAGCCTGTTACACAGAATTGGGAAGGTCATGGATGGTGCATTAAAGGGGTCCTTGAAGGGAGTATTTCAGGCAGAGGGAGCCGCCTAAGCAAAGTCAAGGGCAGGGAAGTGTGTGTCTGACACCCAGAGTATGAGAGAGAAGCTGGAAGTTAAGGCCACTCTAGAGGTTATGACAGATAAACCTCAGTCCCCTCCCTCACTCAGTGCCTTCGCACACAGTTTATTTCCTGCACACATCAATTCCCCAATGGAGGATCCTCCCATCTTGTGGCGCTGCCATTTCAACACGAGCTTCCAACTCCACAGAAGGAAAGAGTTGGGAAATGTTTATGGACCAGGTCTGGACGTGGTGCCCATCACCTTCACTCGGGTTTCATTGACTCAGTCAATGACTCAGTCACATGGTCTCAACAACTGCAAGGGAGCCTGGGAAAAATAGGCTAGCAGATTGCCCAGGCAGAAGAAGAAACAGGTGTGACAACTAGCTAGCCATCTCTGTTAAAGCAGACATTTTTGAAGTAACTTTTAACTTCCATATAATGTCAAACTTCAAGGTTACAAAAATAGTATAAGGAACTCCCATGTACTATTTACTCAAATTTACCAAGTATTCACATTTTGAAGCATTTGCTTCTCTCTCTGTATACTAAGATATAGATAGATATAGAGATAGCGATAGAGATAGAGATATACTGTGTGTGTGTGTATTTGTATCAATGTACTTTTCTGTGCATATGCAATTTATATATATGCGTTTTTTCCTGCACCATTTGAAAATACTTTTGTATCCCTAAATACTTGGGCATGTATTTAGAACAAAGACATTTTCTTACACGGCAGGTTTCTTAGCTTCTAGGCACTTCATTTTCCTCACCTATAAAATGGGATAATATTAATACCAGCCTCAAAGACTTGTTCTGAGGAATATGCAGAGTGACAGCTGAGGGCCTGGGAGTGTGGTGACTATTGTGGCTGTTGGCTAATTCCGCCCCCTTCAGGTATCTGTGATGGGGACGCGGCCAATGACCTCACCCTGGAGGATGGTTCTGTGGTGGGCGAGGACGAGGACCCTGCTCCCTTTCTGGACAGCTGGCAGGTGCCCAGTTCCCTGACCTCCGTGGGCCAGACCCGCTTCCGCCCAGACAGCTGTGCCACGGCTGACTGCTCTCCCTGCATCCGCATGGTGTCCAACCGCACCTTCAGCGCCTGCCACAGCTTTGTATGTGCCACCTGGGTTCAGAGTGGGGGGACCCCCTTGGCTGGGAAGGGCCAGGAAGGGAGGGGCAGATCTGGGTGAGCTCCCCAGAGGTCTTATTTGGGACCAGATTGGGTGTCTGTTAGAGGCTCATTGTCACCCCCGGGCAGCGCTAGGGAGAGCTGGGCCCTGGGATGTGGGGAATCCAGGGAGGCAGCACTGCCTGATACGTGTGCCCAGGTCTCTCCAGAGTCGTTCTGTGAGCTGTGGATCCGGGACACCAAGTACGTGCAGCAGCCCTGCGTGGCACTGACCGTGTACGTGGCCATGTGCCACAAGTTCCACGTGTGCATCGAGTGGCGGCGCTCCGACTACTGCCGTGAGTTGGTGGCCGGACGGGGGCAGGCGTCTCCTCCATGGCTTCTTTGCTCCCACAGTTAGAGCGGGAAATACTTTTACAGACCTGAGTCCAACTCGAGGCTTTCCAGACTTAATTATTCATTCATTCAATTGCATTAATTAATAAATGTCTATATACTTTATAAATAAATCTATGCATATTTTAACAAACTAAAAAAATTATTTTTGTTCTAATTTATATTACCAAGTCAAGTAAATCTTATTTATTTATTATTTTATTTCTCTGAGTCTCCTTGCCCCATCTGTAAAATGGGAACAGGAATGATAGCTCCCTCTAGGGTTGGTTTGAAGATGGCATGAGACACGGTGTTCAGAGTGCTTCACACTAGCCCGTCACCTGGTTATGTCCAGCGCATATTCGTTCCTTTCTCTTCACTGTTGGCCATCTTCCTCTTTCAGTCTCTCCCCTCCTTCCTTAAAGAGAATTGAGATCCATGCTGTCCTGCCCCCATTAGCTTTACCCTGGTGGGGCAAGTAGGGGTGGACTGGCCTCAAGTAGTTTGAACACACCCAGACAGGCAGGAGGTGGCTCACAGGAAGCCACACCTTTAATGTGACAGATAAATGAAAAGACAATGCCACCCAGAATATGGTTTTCAAACTGTGGATTTCAACTCAGTGGGTATGAAATCAACTTTTGGGGTCAGCGCCAGCATTTGAAAAATACAATAAAATAGAAAATACTAGAAAAATTAAATATTATCTCATGAACAAGTTTTGTTGTTGCTATATATCAGTGATTCTCCATTCCAGCTACCCTTTGAAATTGCCCAGCGAACGTCAAAAATCAGTGATGCTTGGGCCCCATAATCAGAGACTCTGATTCCATTGGTCTGGGGTGGGGTCCCAATAATAGCTATTCAGAAACTCCCGGTAATTCTTCGGCTATCTGGTTTGAGGACCACTGTTCTTTCACATATATATTTCAGAGAGGAAGTGAGAGAGAGAGATAGAAACATCAATGATGAGAGAGAGATAGAAACATCAATGATGAGAGAGAATCATTGCTTGGCCGCCTCCTGGACGCCCCCTACTGGGGATGGCCCACAACCCAGGCATGTGCCCTGACTGGGAGGCCGATGCTCTATCCACTAGGCCAAACCAGATAGGGCAGACCACTGTTCTATTGGACCACAATGTAAAATCTAGTTTTTACAGTCAAGAGAGTTTGAAAGCACTGACCTAGAAAAGGGGTTGGAATGTTGTCTGTGAAGGGCCAGATAAATATTTGCGGCTTTGAGGGCGGTACGGCCTCTGCACAACCACTCTGCTCTGCCCTGTAGGACACAGGCAGCCACATTCAGGAGTAAATGAACGACGTGGCTGTGAAACATTCAGTAAAACTTGGTTTGCTGACTCCTGATCTAGAGGAAAGAGGTCATGAAACCCCTTCGCACTGCCTGCTGAGTCACAGATGATGCTCACTAACGCCCTCTGTGTCCTTGCAGCCTTCCTGTGCTCCAGCGACTCCACGTACCAGGCCTGTGTGGCGGCCTGTGAGCCTCCCGAGTCCTGCCAGGATGGGATGCTGGGCCCGCTGGACCCGGAGCAGTGCCAGGTGCTGGGCGAGGGCTGCGTCTGCTCTGAGGGCACCCTCTTGCACCGCCGCCACTCGGCGCTCTGCATCCCTGAGGAGAAGTGCGGTAGGTTCCTGCCCTCCCGGGGTGGGACCCTCCAAGCTGGCTTCGCCCTAGGCCCTCCTTCACCCTCCTGCACCCATGGCCTGTATCTTTCCAGGTCTGCTTTGGGCTGGTCGTTGTCCCAGGGAGGGTCTAACCTGGGACAGTCTGGGTCTCCCCACCCTCCTGAGGCCCCTGTGCCCTCCCCACACCTCCTCTGCAGCCTGCACGGACAGCACGGGGGTGCCGCGGGCCCTGGGGGAGACCTGGAACAGCTCCCTCAGCGGATGCTGCCAACACCAGTGCCAAGCTCAGGACACCATCGTCCCAGTGGACCTGGACTGCCCGGGCCCCCGCCCTGAGACCTGTCCCCGCTTTGGGGAGGTGGCCCTGCTCCGGCCCACGGAGGATCCGTGCTGCCTGGGGGCTGTTTGTGGTGAGTCCCACTGTTCACTTCCCTGGGCCTGGACTCCAAGACAGTTAAAAGGCTCCAGCTCTGACCTGATGGATAGCACAAGGCTGGGAAAGTGAAAGTGTCTTGTGTTTGGTGGGGAAATTGGGGGGAGGGAGAGAACCCCGCCTGGGGAACCGGAGCCACACCTTAGGGTGGGCAGGGCTTAAAGGCACAGGCTCTGGAGTGGACTCTTCCTCCACCACCTGGCAGCCTGGGGACATTGGCAGATCATTTAACATCCTCTGTGCTTCAGTCGATCCTCCTGTAACAGGAGGCTGATAGTACCCACCTTCCGGGCTGCTGTGAGAATTACAGAAGTTAATACTGATCCAGAACAGCCGCTGGCACACGGTCCATTGGGTTGGATGTTAACTATTATTGCTCTTTTGTCCCAGTCACCATCTGTGTGGCCTTCAGAGGCTCCTTCTAAGAACGAGGGACCTGGGGGCTGGGAGGCGTCATGGGGACCAGGTGTCCAGGGTCTGGGCAGCGCTGGAGGCTGGGAGAAGTCCTGGCCTCCAGGTGACAGGCCCTGTGGCCCCCGGGCCAGTGTGTAACCAGACCCTATGTGAGGGCCTTGCCCCCACCTGCCAGCCAGGCCACCGACTCATCGCCCACTTCCAGGAGGAATCCTGCTGCCCCAGCTACAGCTGTGGTGAGAGGTCTGGGGCTGGGAGAATGGGATGCCCACCACCTGGGGGAGGTGGGAGCCTGCCCCTGGGGTAGGGGAGCAAGGACAGCTTTGGGGATTGGGTTCTGGCTGGAGATTAGGGCAGAGTCAGGGCGGGTGACCCGGTGTGGCCAGGCAGGGTCTGCTCCCAGCGCCTCGATTCTGGGTTTGTTTGTTTTTCCCCAGAGTGTGACCCAGACCAGTGTGAGGCCGAGGTGATCCCCAGCTGCCGCCAGGACCAGATCCTGATCGCCGGCCGCCTAGGGGATTCGTGCTGCACCTACTACTTCTGCAGTGAGTGGACAAGCCACCAGACGTCAGCGTGCACACCTGGGCCGCAGCCACCCCTTCCGCACCCCGGCTTCCTTGGGTGGCGGGGAGGAAAGGACGGGGGTCCCAGGTGGGGAGGGGGGCACAGGAGAAGGTGAGGTCCCTGTCCAGAGAGACGTGTAGGAGAAAGAGGAAACCGATCCCCTGCGGATGACTGAGCACGAGGAAGTCGGTGCTCGCTCAGCGCAAGACTTAGATGGACACAGGGAGAACGTGCGCGTTCTGGCTCCAGGACAGGCCACGGGGGACCATGAACCACTGCCCTTAGTCTAGCCCCGTCCCACCTGGATTTTCAAGGTGTCCCCACCTCGCCACCTGTCCTCTCCCAAGCCCCCCGCCCCGACGAGGGGGGCTGCCTGTGACCGCAGGGCCCCTCTCCCCTCAGCCTGTGGCGACTGCCCAGATCCGATCCCCGAGTGTCAGGAGGGGGAGGCGCTCACTGTGGACAGCAACACCACGGAGCTCTGCTGCCCTCTGTACCAGTGCGGTGAGTCCCGGCGGGACGTGGGCCACGGCCGGAAGGGGCTCCTGGGTCCTGTATGTGCCACCAGGCCCTTCACAGAGTCCCCTGCCCCCTTCCCAGGACACTCATGTTATTACCCCGTCCCAGTCTTCATTATGCTTTCATTACAAAAGCCCTATATCTGCCTCGTAGAAAGTACAACATCCAAGTGAAAACACTGTCTTCCTGCCTCCCAGGTAGCCTACTGTCAGCATTTCCATCCGTGTCCTCGCGATATTCTCTATGCCTTTATGTGTGTGTGCTTTACCCAAAGGACGTCACCTGGACATACTCTTCTTTAACCAGCTGTGAACACGTGACCTTCACCTTTCCACGTTAACATTTTTTAGTTATCTCGTACCCAGTCCACAATTCTCCTGGCTTGTCCAACCCAAGATCCAGTCCAGGGCCACACATTAATCTTACGTCTCTTAAACATCTTTTAATCTAGCACGGGTCCCTTTTTCTGTGTGACACTAAATTGTAGGGCCTGGCTGTGGTCCTGTGGAAAGTCCCACCATCTGGATTGTTCATCTTGCTTCTCTAGCCTGTGCACTTCCTGTAAACCGGAAGTTAAGACCTGAGACTTGGTGGATTCAACTAAAACGTTTTCTAACTGGAGAGTGCACGAGCTTCATAATACACCCCACCAGGAGACACATACCGCGTGGCTGCGCCACTGTAACTGATGTGAACCTCGGCCCTGGATTGGGGTGGGGACGGTCACAGTCCTCCATCTGACACTTATATGTTTCCTATTACAACCAGAAAGTAATCCATTACTTGGACGCTGTAGGGTGTCCTTCTTCCTCTCTGCTTCATACTTTTGGGAAACACCAGTTGACAATGCTGACCTGTGCCAGCAATTTTTTTAGTAAATCCAACAAGTCTTATGGTCTTTCCCCTTCAGTGTTGACCTTTGTACCTCTCCTCCCCACCAAAGAAGTTGAGCCTAGAGATTTCCTCAGTCCTTGTCTTGCTCTCTCGATATATGAGCGTGTCCGAGGAACCCTCTGCAAAGAGGGACCTGCCTGAATTACAGTAGGAAGGGAGTGTGAGCCTGGAGTGTGGCTGAAGCCGAGCAGCTCGGGCGGCTGCATGTGGTGATGTCCACCGGTGGGAAGGGTGTGCTCTCCCCCAGAGGGAACCGCTCTGGTCAGTGGAGCTTATCCTGGTCACTGGCTCCCCTCTGATCGCTACTCTCGTGGTGACACAGAACCCGGAGGGGGAGGCCCAGTTGAGTGACCTTCAGGTTCTGCCATTGCCACATGGTAATGCCTCCCGGAGCAGAAGTAGGGCCTCCCAAGGTAGTTCTTCAGGGACACTCCGGGAGCCCAGACTTCTCCCCTGGACTCCAGCCCAGGAGGGTGTCTGAGGAAACTGGGGGGACTCCCTCCTTAGCCGATGTTGCATTTCTGAGGATTCACGCTCCAAGTTGCCTGCGGCTAATGTGTCCCCTGCCTCCCCTCCGTGCAGTGTGTGAGAACTTCCGCTGCCCCCAAGTGCAGTGTGGCATGGGCACTGCCCTGGTGGAGGTGTGGAGCCCAGACCGCTGCTGCCCCTACAAGTCCTGTGGTAAGTCCCCGACAGGGCGGCCCCTCCCGAAGGCGGAGATCCAGGGCCCCTTTCCATCAACAGTCTTTATTGCAACTAGTAATATAATTTTGTTAAATCCACCTCAAATCCTTTGGGGAAGTAGGTGGGAGTGATCAATCATGAACACCAGTGAGCTTTATATAAAAAGGTAATTTTAAAAAGAGTTGAGCCTGGCCTGTGTGGCTCAGTGGTCGAGTCGACCCATGAACCAAGAGGTCACGGTTCTATTCCCAGTCATGGCACATGCCTGGGCTGTGGGCTCTATCTCCAGTAGGGAGCATGCAGGAGGCAGCCTATCCATGATTCTCTCTCATCATTGATGCTTCTATCTCTCTCTCCCTCTTCCCTTCCTCTCTTTGAAATCAATAAAAACCTGTTTTAAAAAGAGTCAGGAAACTCTAGTTTGCACCTGGATATTTTGCTTGTCTTTTTCTGCGCCTGGATGTGAACCTCCTGAAGGCAGGGGTTTTAGTCTGTCTGTCATTGCTCTGTCCCCAGAGCACAGAGGAAAGCTTCACGTAGAGCAGGCACATAAAGTAGAGCAGGCACGTAAAGCCATCTGCCGCGTGAGTTCCCCAGAGGAGTGTTTCACAGCCATTCTGCCCTGGGGCACCTCGCCCTGGAGCTGGAGCTGCTGTCTCCCTTCAGTTGGCCGGTGGTGCCTCAGCGAGGGGGAGGGAGGCAGGCTGCGCCTGCAGTGAGGTGTCCGGAGGAGGGCCTCCACCTGGACATCTCTGGTGAGGTGGGTCCTGGCCCCTCCTGTTTTTCAGAGTGTGACTGCGACACAATCCCAGTGCCCCGGTGCCATCTGGTACGTAGAGCCTACCCCTCCCCTGGCCTGCCCCGCTTCCTTTCCTTCCTTCCCGCCCCTTCCCCTGGAGACCCTGTGCCTTCCATCTAGGACACAGAGCCTCGGGTTGCAGGTCAGTGTTCGAGTCCTAAGCCCTGCTCCCTGGGCACAGTGACCTTAGTTGTAAAGTGGGCGTGGTCATGCTTCAGAGTTGTGAGGATTAAGTACAATGATGATGAAGATGGGGGGGATGAGGATGATGGTGGGGATGGGGAGGATGGTGAAGATGATGATGGTGGTGATACTTGCGACGGTAGCTAATATTAGTTGAGAGTTAACTATATGCCAGGAACTCTCCTAGGGCCTTTATGTATATTATCACATTAATTCTCACAACAACCCAGTGATTCTATGACTAACTCAGTTTTACACACAAGGACGCTAAGGTTAAGGTCATATAGCTAGTAATCACAGTGCCAGGGTCGGGAGCCAGGAAACCTGCAAAGTTATGTTTAAAGTTATGTTTTTCACATAATTTTATGAATTATATGTATTCCCCCCAAACCTCAACATGCATCTCCTCTCACTTTGCCTCCTGGCCCATCCTCTCTCTCTCCCTTCAACTGGGGAAGGAAGAAGGGAAGTACCATGAGCCCAGTGAGATGCTCTGCTGCAGCCACGCATCGGTCCCCTATTGCTCAGAGTGACAGGAGAGGCCTGAGGCCCAGAGAAGACCCTGGGGTGCTCCTCAGCGGGGAACCTCAGCGGGAGGGTGACTGAGCTCACAGGGTGCCAAGGGGCCCCAGGCCCCAGGCCCTTCTCCACCGCTGCAAGGAGAGAGAGGGGCTCAGGTGGCAGACTGCTCCCGAGGGCGGGGCTGGGCCTTCCCACCCGGGTGCTGACCGCTCTGCCCCACCCAGTGGGAGAAGTCCCAGCTGGACGAGGAGTTCATGCACAGCGAGGAGAACGTGTGTGGCTGCGCCAAATACGAGTGCGGTGAGCGGGGAGGTAGAGCCAGGGTGAGTGAGCCATGGGTGGGGCGGGGGTGGGTGCTGGGCTCTCGGTGACTGTGACTGCCCTGCACACCCATGCAGTGAAGGCTGCCGTATGTCTGAGCCGAGAGCTGGGGGTGATGCAGCCGGGCCAGACGGTGGTGGAGCTCTCGGCCGATGGCGTGTGCCACACCTCCCGCTGCACTGACCTGCTGGACCCTCTCACCGGCTTCTACCAGATCAACACCACCTCTGTGCTGTGTGACGTCCACTGCGAGGCGGTAGGGGGCAGCATGGGATGGGGGGGTGGTCAGAAGGGCTGGCCTGGCAGAGCCTAGATGCTCCAAGAACCAGAGGGGCCCTCCAGCTCTCCCCAAGCTCTCTAGACAAGTCTAGAGCATGGGCATCAGGGGCTCCGGAGACCTCTGTGGAAAGTGCTGGAAACAGGGCTGGGTTGGGCGAGGCCAGGAGGGGAACAGCGGGAGTGAAGGCCTGGCAAGGGTGGGGATTTGACAGAGAACATTTATGAAGCACCTTCTATGGCTGGCATATCCCCTAGTTTATTTATTTCTGTGTTTGCGTTGGCTGCTATCATTTGTTGAACACGTCTACATGCCCAATGCTTAGGATAGTTACTGGCTTCTAGTGAGGGCTAAAGAACTATTAATTGAATAAACAGGCTTAGAATTGTTCCTATTTTTCAGATGAAAAAACTGAGGTTTAGGGAGGTCCAGTCCTTTGTCAAAAGTCCCACAGGAACTGGGACTCAGCTAGAGGTCTATCTGGAACCGAAACTGGCAGCCGTAATTACCAGCGATGCTGTCTTCGAAAGGGGTGGGGGAGCTGTTTATCACTGGGGCTGAGCCCAGGACCTGCAGCAAAGGAATCACAGGGTAGCGTTGGGATGACCTTCCTGCCGAGATAGAAGGAGCCTGGGGGGCCCCTTCCTGAGCGTCTACAGAGGGCCCTGCTCTGGGCTCAGAGACAAGAGACAGTGGGAGAGGCAGGAGGGCAGAGGTGGGCATGTGCTGAGCCCATCCGTCCCTCCCTGTCCTGCAGAACCAGGAGTATGAGCACCCGCGGGACCTGGCGGCCTGCTGCGGCTCCTGCAGGAACGTGTCCTGCCTCTTCACTTTCCCCAACGGCACCACCTCCCTGTTCTTGGTATGCAGCCCCCTAACTGCCCACCTAGGAAGGGGTTCCGGCAGGAGACACCGAGGACCAGGACCCAGGGCTGGGTACAGATGGGGTCCTGGGCAGTGCCAGGTTTGGGGCCGCACCTGTCTTTGGAGCTATACCCGATCGGTTCACCCGGGCCATCCATCTGGCCACGGTCCCCATCACCCACCTCTGTGCCCTCCAGCCCGGGGCGTCCTGGATTGCAGAGTGCGCCCGCCACCACTGCAGCAGCACCCCCCTGGGCGCCGTGCTGGTCCGCTCGCCCATCAGCTGCCCACCGCTCAATGAGACTGAGTGTGCCAAGGTCAGTGCCAGTCCCCCCCCCCCCCGCAGCATGGCCTGAGGCCAGGGGCGTCGGCGCTCTTACTAGTGGGATGGGGAGAGGTCCTTTGTGCAGGGTGTGGGAGGAGGGGTTCCCGGAGCCTGTGCCTGCCCCGCCGCCCCAGGTCCACATCTCTCCATGCCTGCCCACCTCGCACATCACAGGGCCACACAGACACACACAAATATACACTGTTACAGACACACTGCCACAGACAGTCGACTGCGCACACACACCACACACTCCGCGGGGACATTAACACCTCAATATGCCAGCGCACACATCGCTCACTGTCACACACCAGAGCGCTTTTGCACTAGTGTGGACAGCTGTCACTATGGGTACACCCCAAGGACAAGGGTTTCCTGGAGGGTTTGGGGTTATTGTTAAATGATGAAAGCTCCTGAGATGAATATTGGCATTTAAAGATTTCTGACCTTACCTAGAAGATAAATACACACACACAGTCATACTCTCATACACACAATCACACCTGTACACACACATATATGCTCACAAAATCACACACATATAGAAACGCACACTCACACTTATTCACAAAGAACTGTCATGTCCATTGTCTCATCCATTTCACAGTAGAGGAGGAGGGCTCTGAGGGAGAATTGCTCCCGTTTTAGAAATGGGGATATTAAGCCCAGAAGAAAGGGACAACTTATCCAGGGCTGAGACGGAGCCCAGGCCGCTCACCCAAGGGGGTCAGCTACTGCCCCCCTCCCTCCCTGGCCCTCCATGGGGGGAGCTGCCCCTGGAAAGCATCACCTTAACCCCAGCTCCAGCCTCAGTGGGAGCCGCAGACAATCTCAGTGCCAGTGTCCCAACCAGTCAGCTCACACCTGTGGCTCTCCCACGGCCAGCCCAGGGCCCCCTTCTTCCTCTGGCCAAGGCCTGATGGCCAGCAGGGCCTGGAGGTCCTGCCTGGGGCATCATGGGAGGAAAGGAGTCAAGTCCCTGGGACTCTCTGCCTCTTGCTGGGATCGTGGCTCCTGGTCTGGACAGGATTTCCCACCCACCTGCCCTCTTCTCCCTCCAGGTCGGGGGCTCGGTGGTCCCTTCCCTGGAAGGATGCTGCAGGGCATGTGAGTGATCATGGTGGAGACCCAGGGGTGAGGGGCTCTGGTGGGGGGAGAGCATGTCATGATGGGGCTAGAAGGCCAGGCCCTGGCCTGGCACCTCCAGTGGTGGCTCTTCGGGGGTGAGTAGATGAAGGAATAATCCCCCCACCACGAGGTCCAGGCACTGGCACAGACAGGCAGCTGGGCAGAGGCCATGCTCACCTTCCTGTCCCAACACAAGGCCTCTGCTTCTTGTTGGAGACGGGGACATTGGGATATTGAGTCCAGGAGGTCAGTAGCTCACTGGCCTGCCCCTGCCAAGGCCCCCAGCCCAGATGCCCCCCCCCCCCCACCGCATGAATTCTCCCTGTGGCCAGGAGCCATGTCTTGGAGGGGTCTCGTGGGTGGGATTCAGGCTATGGACTCCCTGTGGAGTCTGAGTGAGAGGTCTGTGCCACGGTCCTCACACCTGGCCCTGGGACCTGCAGCCCCAACCACATAGGCATGCCTGGCCAGTCAGCCTTAGCACCTTTGCCCACATGCCTCCCCTCCCCCTCCGGTCCCAGACGCTTCCTGGGAGGGCTATAGAATGTGAGACTTTTTATGCTCACCTCACATACTCCAGTGCCTCATTGGCTGATCTCTGACCCACAACTCATGTTCCCTGAATGTCCCATGTGCTCCCATGTGACCTGCAACCCGTGTCCCTCTCCCCAGGTTCCCCGGGAACCCTGTTTCCCGAGTGCCCCGTAAGCCCCGCCTCTCCTCCACGTATTAGTGTCCACTGCCGCCCAGGTACTCCTCTCGGGAGCCCACGGAACTGGAGGCGGGCAGCCGCGTTGCTATTTCCAACAATGTTCCTTCTGCTAGGTGGCCCCAGCTCTGAGGGTGGGGGTGGGGAGGGTGGCGCCCCTGCTCCCTGCCTCTGGCAGAGGCCTTTTGGCCAACAGTGCATGCTGGGTAGCAAGCTGTGCCCCCTGGGCTTGCATGGGAATGCTTCAGCGGTGCCCGCTCACCTGGCGCCCACCAATGCCCAATGCTGCCACCGCTTTGCTCCCACTGGTCACTCAGCCAGTCTCAGTCCGGACCCAGGGGCCATGGCCAGGACAGCACTCCATTCTCCTGCCTCGTGGGAGCACAGACAGTAGACAAAGTCAGCTTAGCTCTGGCTGGGAGTCCTCCTGCCGCTGTGGTGGGAAACCTGTGGTGAGGCCCCGAGGCCAGAAGAAAGGATTCCCCCCATTTCCAGAAGGCACCTGGGCTCACAGAGCAAGCCCGTGCTCCTGGCAAATATTTACTGAGCACCAATGTGCCAGGCCCTGTGCTAGGCACTGTAGACACAGCATACACCAGGCCTCATGGAGCTGCCATTTTAGCCGGGGGAGACAGAATAACTAGTAAAATACAGTGTATAATAGAGGGGATGCCTCTGGTTTTATGGGGACGGAAGCTTATGCAATGTGGAGGCCCCCATTCGGAAAAAGAACACAAACTTACAAAGCCAGATTGAGGTGTGAAAGGAAATGCTTATTTAGAATGAGGACAGAACTCACAACAAACTGTGAACGAGGCCGTGCAGAAGGCTCTACAGCTTACACCTCAGCAGCATAACCAGCAGGGCGTCTCTGACTGGGTGGTGACACTGTCCTGGGCAGAAACCGGCGGGGGAGGGGTCAGCAGGGAGGACTGGTGCAGGGAGAGGTGCCATTCCAAGAAGGGATTCAGGGCAGGCCAGTGGTGAGGAGATGCTTGAGCAGTCGGGGGCATGAATGAGCCACGTGACTGTTGTCCGTGGGAGGCACGGTTCAGGCAGAGGAAACGGCACTCTGATCGGTCTCCATATGGATGAGCCTGCTGTGTGCACACATGATACTCAGGACTGGGGTTGCCTTCATCCAAGAAATTGCAGAATCTTAACGCTAGGAGCCCTCTTGAATAGAAAAGCTGAAAATCAGACAGGGGTGAGGTCACCGATAGAGCTTAGAGACAGATGTTGGGACTGGGGTGGGGAGGCATCTTGCCTGTCCCCAAATCCTCTCTTCCCTAGCCCAGAGCCCCCAAGGCCATCCCACACACCTTCCTCTGTCTCCCCTGCCTTCCGTGCCACCGTCTCCCTCCAGGGCTCTGAGTGAAAAGCTTGCCCTCTGACGGGGAGGGGCTCTAATGCATGGGCACTAACGCTGGCAGAGGGACCCTCCAGCATGACACTAACTGCCCCAGTCCGGCCCATCCTGCTGCCACTGGAAGCACTTTTCAGCCACGGCCACCTCACCCACCCTGTCCCCCTAGGTAAAGAGGATGGGCGCTCCTGCAAGAAAGTGACCATCCGCATGACCATCCGCAAGAATGAATGCAGGAGCAACACCCCTGTGCGTGGCATCCACCAGGCGGTGGGGGAGGGGCAGCCAAAGATGGGGAAGGTGGGGGTTGGGGAGGTGGGAGCTACACAGGCCGCCTCACGGGCTTGCCCATCCCCAGGTGAACCTAGTGTCCTGTGATGGGAGGTGCCCATCCGCCAGCATCTACAACTACAACATCAACGCCTACGCCCGTTTCTGCAAGTGCTGCCGAGAGGTGGGCCTGCAGCGGCGCTCCGTGCAGCTCTTCTGTGCCACCAACGCCACCTGGGTGCCCTACACAGTGCAGGAGCCCACCGACTGTGCCTGCCAGTGGTCCTGAGGCCTGCGGGAGGCCTGGGGGCTGGGCCTTGGGCTGGTCGGGCCACCTCCATCACCCCTGCTTTCCGTTAACAGCTGGCCTGTGTGTGGGGGAGGGGACGCTTCAGGTGTGGAGAGCTGGTTCATGCCCAGCCTGGAATGAGCAGAGGCACGGAGAGTGACCAGAACAGGCCACACCTGCCCATCCTGGCTCCCTCTCTAAGCTGCCCCTCCTCCACTCTTGGGAAAGTGCCACAGCGGAGGGCTTGGGGAACCCTGTCTCTGGCTTGAGGCTGGAATGGGCCCTGGATCAGGGCGGCAGCCCCTGCACACCCGTGACTGGCCACAGTGCTTTTGGTGGAGGGGGTGAGAGCTTTCCTAGGACGCTGGGATCAGAGCTGGACCCAAGACCAAGTGCAGGGTCAGGATGTGGGAGCCCATTCTCTTTCTTGGCCACGGAGAACCACAGACACAGTAAAAGAAAAGGAGGCTTTAATTGCAACACACAGCCTGCACAGAGCTGCCCAGAAGGAATTCCCAAAAGCAAAAAGGGCAGGTTCCTGGGCCTAGTCTCACCAACATCTGTGCGCTCAGACCCAGAGACTGAGGAGCGGCTCAGTGACATTCAAGCCCCCTGAGCGCCCTGGTATCCTGTTATTGGCATTGTGATTTGGGAAAGGTTTAGGAGAGCAGGCCCATGCCTACTCCATACCACCCCCGCCCCCATCCACCACAGCTGGCCTTCCTGGCAGGTGGGCTGGCTCTTGTGAGTGGTGATGGGAGGGAATGGCTTCCTCAACCAGGGCCCAGTACAGCTCGTCTCAGTGCTGGAGGACAGCCCACCCTCCAAGGGCCATAGTGTTCAATGGGTACCTTCAGCCTGAAAGCGGGAGCAGCTTGGCTTTGCAGTGGCCATTTCTAAGGACACAGCAGTGTTGGTGTCTGGAGGGACTTCAGGTGGGTTTTGGGTTCAGCTGGTCCTCAGCTCACTGCTTCCTGGGCCTGTTTAGCAGGAGAGCACCTGTCAGTGGGAAATGCAAGCCCTGTGTGTGCCGCCCGATTACCTGAGCATCTGTCAGACCCTTGTCTCTGAACCAGAGTGTCTCCCCAAAACCAGGGCCAAGGCCCCTTCCACACCCACACACACATCCACCACCAGGTCACCTGTGCTCCTGGATCCAAACAGCATGAACATGAGGCGGTTCTGGCCAGCACCGTCCTGTATATCTGGATGGGTGTGGTTGTCCTGTGCCCCCAGGGTTGGGTTAGGGTTCCGTGCCAGGATGGTCCCCAGCTGTTCCTGCAGACTCTCTGCTCCTGCACCTGAATTCTGTTTATATATCCAATAAACCATGGGAAGACATCGAGCCTCTGAGCATCTCTGAGGGTGTCAGGTGTGCTTTGACTCTGAAGGAGTTTCAGCTGTGAAGATAAGACCCTATTTTATGGCCCCGGAGGTCACCCTGACCTCTGCCCCGCCCATGCCCAGCACCGTGCCCCACTCAAGACAGGTCCTCAGTTGGTATCTGTTGGTTGGAATTGGACCAATTCCTAGGGGGAGGGGTGGCAAGAGGACATTGGGAGCTGGGAAGCTGGCACCCAGGTGAGGGGCCTGGGGAATGGTCCCAGCTCTGTGGGGCCAGGGCACATGCTTCTCACATAGGATGTGAATGGCAGGTCCTGAGGGTAAGTTTCATGTCTCAATGTTTCTGTGTCTATTTTCCCGTTGTCTCATAAAGCTCAGTAAGTTTTTGCAAGCACTGTTGACTGTGCTGGGGTTAGGGAGAATCCAGAGAAGAGCCTCAAGACTCAAGGGGTATCTATAGCATCTCCCCAACCCTTGTGTCCTCCCCACTCTGTGCGTGACTTAAAGCTTAAGAAAACCCCAGAGGCCACACAGACTGGTAAGAAATCGAAGCCCATGGTGGGAGGGTAGAGGGTAAAGGGGTCAACTATACAGTGACGGGAGGCTAGACTTTGGGTGGTGGGCACACAGTGACATACACAAATGATATGTTATAGGGTTGTACACTTGAAACTTCGATCATGTTATTAACCAATGTCACCCAAATAAATTTACTTTAAAAAAATTAAGGAAGAAACAGAAGCCAAGGTCCCAGCCGAGGTATCGAGCTGGGCGCACTGGGCGGCTGCCTAGCCTGCAGCCCCCTGTGACGTATTTGCAAACACGAGGGGTTTTGAGCCCCAGAACCATCCCATTTTCCTTGCTTGGGGCTCAAGTTCCAGCCCCGATTTTCTGGGCTTAATCCTCTTCCTGTGGAAATCAATAAGGACATTGTGATGGAATGATTCACGTTCAAGGTCAGGCCGGAGCAAATTGGAGGCGACATGCTGATTTTACTGCCCTCGCTGAGCAGAGAGCCAATCCCGCTCACAGACCCCTTAACCCTTTCCTCGCCACTCCCATCAACTGTGTCAGCACCTGCCCGGCTTTAGCCTCCTCCCCAAGGGCTAGGTCCCCAAGGCCTGGTCACCCATGTGTGGCCCTGCCTTTCACATTTCCCCACGGAGAATCACACACTGTCATAGTGGTTCGGGGAAGGCAGATGGCAGTCACAGATGGAATCAAACAGGAACGACTTCCAGTTAAGATCAAACTTGTGCAAGTTCATTGGCCATATCTTGCCCCAGAGCAGGAAGTTTTCCACTTCCAATCCTCTTTTCAGGGTTCTAGACCCCCTCTTCCCTGCTTTCGTGGGTTGTCCCATTTGGGGAGATGGAGGAGAAGGGGAACCAAATTCCTCATTTTTTTTAATGGATAGCAAGTCAGATCTTTTCTGTGGTTCAAATATGATAGTTTATTTTTCCTTTCTAATGAGAGAGAGGGGGGAGAGAGAGAGAGAGAGAGAGAGAGAGAGAGAGAGAGAGAGAGAAACAAATGTTCCTGAGTAGCTGGAACCTTGCTACTGAACGATTCAGAGAACCTGGCTCCTCTGTCTTGGGAGTCTAGCATCACCAGCAAGAGCCTTCCAAAGGCACCATGCTCATCTGCATCAAGCCAGCCCTGGGAGGAGTGCAGGGAACATGCTCTGGAGGTTTGGGGGTGCCTGACTGAAAGTGGCTTGCTTTTATCACACTGGCCAGAACTCATGTGCGAGGCCACACCTAACTGCAAGGGAGGCTGGGAAATGTAGTCCAGCTCTGTGCCCAGGAAGAAGAGGAGATGCATCTGGGAGACAGTGTCTTCAGTGAGGAAGTGGAGAGAGTGCAGACAACTCCACGGAGTTTAGATGAGAGGGCAGAAGAGGGATAAGGCATGAGGTCCAGCAAAGGTTTGTTTGCTGGTTTGAAAAAGGCAGTGACTTGACCATATGTCCTGGAAGGAGCCAGTGGAAAGAGAAGAAAGGTTTTGCTGGGAGAGAGATCAAGGGTCTCAGAGGGCCTGGGGCTGGGACAGTGATGGATAAAGGCACCTCTAGCTGGGCAGTCCCCAGTGTCCACGTCCCCAGTGTCTAACACAGAGCACTGAAAAATGAGTAGGAACATGCCTTTAAACATGAAAGTGAGGAGTCCGGGCAGCATAAAGTTAAAGGGTATACAGGGGTGGACAGCGCCAGGGACCAGGTTCCTCCCCTTACCCCCCCCCCCCCCCCATACCGTGGTGGTGCCAACTAATCCCCTGCAGCAGGCAGGAGGCCTGCGTCTCTCCCACCCGGCCCTTTGCCCAGAGGTCCTGGCAGCCCAGGGAATTGGAGGAGAGGGGATAAGGAGGGTAACAGGATGGGTTCAACCGCTGCAACCTTGGAGAGAGCTGAGCCGTTCTCTAGGTTTGCCACTCAGCCCCCACTTGCCATGAAGTCCCACCTCCCTGTGGGCCAGTGCCCCCCAGCCGTCTGGACCCAAACTCCAGCCCTGCTCCTCCCACACAGGTCCATTCCTGCCTCTGCACCTTTACCTGGGGCCTTTGCCTCATCTGGAATGCCCTTCTCCTCCATATTCCTAGATAGTTCTTGCCTAACCTTCACACCAGCCTTAAAACCCCACCCACAAGATTCTTCTCTTCCACCCCTAGCCCCACCACACCCCTAGGTTCTGCTCGTCTGGGGCATCACTTGCTGGCCTGTGCCTATGCTCTGCTCAGAGCAGGGGGATGTAGGTTCACTCATTCATTCATTCTTCACCTACATTTCCTTCACAACAGATGAGAAAGCTGGGGCCCAGAGAGGTTAGGCACCTGGCGGCTGGAGAGTGGAGGAGTCAGGATTTGAGTCCGTGCTTGTGTAGCGCCAGAGCCCACACTCAGACTTCCCTTTCCAACCAGGAGGGAGCATGGAGGGGTTGGGGGGAGGGCATAGCTCATTCTCTAGGACCCTTCCTCCAGGAAGCCAGCGGGGGCAGTGAAAAGGGGTTTCTAGTCTCTCTTCAGCCAATTACCAGTTAGAAAACGTTGGCAAATTTCAAGCGTCAGTCCTCTGTTGTGAGAAGGAGTGACAGGTTCTACATCCCAGGGTTGGCATGGGGGTCCAGTGAGATCATGGATGGCAACGGGCTGGACAACTGCAGAGGCTGCGGCCATGTGTGAGGCTGCCCGGCTGAGCCAGGAGATCCCGGCCCAGTTGTGCCCAGGGCAGGAGAAGAGCAGGAACAAAGCGCCCTACCCAGCCCTCGCCCACCCTTCACCCACGAGCTCTGGGGCTCACCGCTAAGCCTTTGCCTCTGCGGCACCCCAGCCAACTGTGTATCCTGCCTTGTTCTACCTGAGCTAAATCATCGTTGATAGGTTGTTGGAGCTGAAGGAGGAGCAGGGTGCAGGGAAGGAGCCTGGATTACGGGGACAGGCTCTGTCTCTGAACAGCTGTGTGATTTATTCTCCCCAAATCTCAGTTTCCTCGTCATTAAAATGGGAATGAGAATCTGGCCAAGTGATGGTGAGAATGTTTATAGATAAAGCTCCTGGCCTATACTAGCATTTAATGAATGGAGCTATTGTTGCCACTATGGACAGAACCTTGGAAATCATCTTCTTGGAACTCCACGTTTTCAGGAGCAAGACACTGATTC